CATACAACAACAAAACTACCGCTGATCACAATGATAGGTCTTTTTCTTTTAAATTCAATTCTCCCAGTAAAATTTGACATTTGAATTAAGACACGCAAAACGCAGTGAATGGTGATGTAGTAATGTCTCAAAACTGGCGAGATTTACGATGTGCATGTAATTTTCAGTATATTTGATCTACAATGAGCGGATGATATAGAAAAACGAATTTCAAACAGAGTTCAAAAGTGCAAAATGCATTTATTTTCGTGATGTACATGGATATGGTATTGATCTCAAAGTGAAGGTGGAAGAGGAGGGACATATTGTACGATTTAAGTAGGAATTTTAGTAACAAACGTAGAATGCCGGCACATTCGACGATGGCAAGCTAGATGTAGTGCACATTTTAGTTTTTGTTAAAAAAGATACCGTTGAAAAGGCGACCGACACAGGTTGAATGTTATACAATTTGGTTACGTGGTAACACATTTAGTACAATGTATACGTTTTTTCAAACTGCAACGTCATTACAGTGTAGAACTGATGACATAGCCAGCTGACGGCCAGGCCACAGGTGGATTAAAACAGTTGCCTGCGCATCGAGATACAAGAACCGCACCTATACCTGCACCACGTGAAATGGGTCTAATAAGGTCTAACGACGTCATTCGTTTATCATTTGGGCACCAATGACATCATTTCCAAGGGACATAAGCCATGGTGTGTTTATTGTGGACACAGAACTCTCGGTAAATGTTGAAAATATGAATTGATATAACGTCAAAAATAAATTAGTTACTTCTGATATATGTACGGGTTTGGATATAAAACTACTTGACACACATTTTTCATGATGAAAAAGTGCAAGACAAAAAGGTTTATTTCCGTGTACACTTGCCCTTTAATAAAAACCAACCAAGACAAAATTAATTATTCAGGCAAGAATTTATGGTTGCATTTTAAATGTGGGTATTATAGCTCAAGTGCAAAGTCAAAATCCTCCTTAGATAATCCCCTTACCGAAGAACTTGTCCCCTTACAGGCACTTAAAGGCACTGTTTCACACCACACTTCTTTAAAAATACATAATGCATTTCTCTCAATAATACAAACTATCAGCTCTCAGGGAAGCTACCATATAATGTATTCTTCCCCCAAATTATGCACTTAGAATACAATATTAAATTAAAAAGCTCAAATGAATTAATGCAATGTTGCACTGAATTGACTCTTGCGCCCTCTACCGGCCAAACATTATTTCAAGCGAACCCCATAGAGTTATATCCCTTGGAGTGCTCTTTATGAATATCCTATGCACAACTTGTGATTGAAACAAGTTCGGCAAACACCAACAACACTACATGCAAAGTTTTTGATGTACAAAGCAATTGTTTACATTCCATATATGGCAAGTGTTCTCTGTTTGGAAGCTGTTCTCCTCAAAGTTTCAATTATCAATTTCAGGCAAGTTGTAAGGGATAATAAGTCTTTTATTGCATCAATAGGAAGCTAAAGTGAGTGCATATGTCCAAAAATATATAGTATAGGCCAAAATATTGCTGAAAATATGTGCAATTGTGCCTTTAAGTGTAAAGTAACTATCTTCGTGAGATAATCCTCTTACTCAAGACCTTGTCCCCCCTCTGCCCAGTGCCCTCCACCTTACCCTACCCCCCAGAGTCCTCCCTCTAACTAACACTCAGGAACACAAGGACCACCCCCTCCAGCAAGGTTTACCCAGAGTTCAACTGTTCAGGAAGTGAGAATGAGCCAAGCAATCCCACACAATGATCCAATCGAATGATGAAACCCAATCAACTGGATCACCACTGAGATTCCATTATCTTCCCAAGATAACAAGATTGCCTTGTTTCTCTTTCTCCGTCTTTATGATCTGTGATTAATTCAGGGATCGTGAAGGTCCTGCATGTTAAAGAGAGTTTTATGTGAAGCGTTTATTTAGGCTGAATGAGATGGTCTGACAATGGCTGCAAGAATTCTTCAGTGGAAGTGAGCACATGAGCAGGCAGTGGATGAAGTCAGTGATTTATCCAGAACAATCCGGAGGCTAATATTGTCAGCAAATGTCTGCAGCAAATGTCATGAAAAGTCCCAGATTGGAATTAAAGCTTTCCCAATTCCGTGCCATTGTTAAAACTATTGCTTCTGCTTTGAAGGGATATCTCATCTCTAACTGAAAACAGAACCAATCTAAAGGTAGAAGCTCAGTTTGACATTATTGCGTAAACTGCAATGTTAAAATTTAATGTTGAATTCAAGGGGGAGTTTCATTTAGAATTAAGAAGATAACTCCTTTGATTGAGTTCATGTGATTTGCCAGCAATATTGTAGAAACCTTCTTCTGGTTCAACGTCATTTACAACATTACTGCAGTTGTATTATGGTATGTCCGCTCAATGTTGGAGGAAATGGAGTCCTACTGGATTCAGACATTTATCCCAACCCCATGAGCTCAGGTATGGCGTTGACAAATCTAGAAACTAAGTTGAGGGGGGAACTGGGATTCAAACCCAGTATCAGGTTTCAGGTATGTTCGACAAACGCACCCGCAAAGATCTGGGTTAGAATATTGATCTTCAGTAGCCCATGCTTGTCGTAAGAGGCGACTAACGGGATTGGGTGGTCAGGCTCCCGGACTTGGTTGACACATGTCATCGGTTCCCAATTGCGTAGATCGATGCTCATGCTGTTGATCACTGGATTGTCTGGTCCAGACTCGATTATTTACAGACTGCCATCATATAGCTGGACTATTGCTGAGTGTGGCGTGAAACTAAACTCACTCACTCACTTGACAAACGCAGTTCTACAGGCCAAACTGAGGTGACCTTGCTTATAGTCTGTCTCACAGTCCCTGAACTACATGATTTTCCCTACTGTCTTGCCTTCCCTGCAATGTTAAAGCTCTGAATGAAGCAAGTGTAGATTTCTCCAGGTTCTGAATATCCCAACTCACTGGGGCTCCTTTTCAATTTAAATGTTACTATCAAAATTATATATATTCAGAGACTAAGCATTAGTCTAACCTAGATTACCAGGCCACCCTTGACCCCCAAAGCCAATAATTGGTTTTAAGGTAATTCTCATGATATCACACCTTCATCAGTAAGTGAGTGAATTTAGTTTTTCGCAATAATTCAGCAATATCATGGCGGGAGACACCAGAAATGGGCTTCACACATTGTACCCATGTGTGGAATTGAACCTGGTGTTTGATGTGACGAGTGAACACTTTAACCACAAGGCTACCCCATCTTCCCCCCTTGATAACAGACGATGGTTCCTCTGTCAACCATGTAGAAACAGGAACTGTCTGACCTCGATGCTGACATTATCAATTATATCATATGTATACCGAAATATGCAGCTGGCATGTGTTGGGAATTATTCCGATGTTCACAGAGACCACTCATAAATATTAATAACATGAGATGACAGAGCCTGTGGGATGATATCAACCATCAGCAGCCATTACCTGGCTGCTGTGTTTTTAAAAGTCATGCTTGATGTACCCTCACACAATTACAGATGCTACCGAAACTAGGTAAATTAAAATCAACATGGCACCACATTTGCTGTACATGGACGACTGCCTTTCTCGAATGCTATCATAACAGTAAAATAGTTGTTGTAAATTAAATGCTATTTTTTTTTATAATGTTCAAATTGTAATGTTTAATTGAGCATGCCGAACTACAACAGTATCAAGGAGCCTGGAGTGAGTTTTGTTTTACGCTGCTTTTAACAATATTCCAGCAATATCACAGCAGGGGACACCAGAAATGGGCTTCACACATTGTACCCATGTGGGAAATTGAACCTGGGTCTTCGGTGTGATGAGCAAACGCTTTAACCACTAGGCTACCCGACCGCCCCAAGAGCCTGGAATGGGATTAATCTAAACCAGACAACCCAGTGGTTGATAGTGTGAGCATCCTTTTAAATAATTACGGTAAAAACCCATACGTGATCACTCACTTTGAAACTGTATGATCCTAGAATGTCGTCGCCACAAGGATGCTACTGGACCTATTTCAGTCATCACCATAAAAAGACAATCTTGATGACTGACCTACTTAAAAGGTCATGGTCATGGTCAAGGTCAACTTTTCAGATTAAAAGTAAATGCTTGAATGCCAATGAGCTTACTAAAACAACAAGGTCGGTGTTTTGAAAGTAGTGGTTAAACCTTTGTCCATGTCTCAGTGTTCAACTAAATTGGGAACAATATTTAGCAGTTTTATAGGAGAGAAGGTTGAAAAAAACAATGTCGATGGACAAGGAGCATATGACATCAGTGCTTGAACACTTCATCTTCAACTTTAGTTAATGTTAGGACCACAAGGAGGCAGGACAGGGCAACAAGCTAACTCATAACATTTGACATATTTGGGATTAAACTTTCTCCATAAAGTACAGATTATAATACTTGTATAGTTTTACCTTTATGATGGTTGAGACCTGTCTGGGTTTGAGCCCACACTTTCAGATAACAGTACCTAATCGCCAGCACACAAAGCTGTGATGTAGACTACTGGGTGTCAGGCTTCCAGCTTTGTGGGTCACTGACTTTGTGTGCTTGCGATTAGATGCCTAACTCTGAGAGAGTGTGTTGGATTCCACGCACGCACGCACGCACGCACGTACGCGACGCACACACACACACACCACCTTGATCAAGTACTAGAATCTGTACTTTCTAAATAGCACTGTGTATTCTTTGTTTGTTTGTTGTTTAACATTGCACTCATCAATATTCCAGCTATGTGGCAGCTTTCTGTAAGGAATCAAGTCGGGACCAGACAATCCTGTGATCAACAGCATGAGCATCTATCTACACAATTGGGATACGATGACATGCATCTACCAAGCCAGCGAGCCTGACCAGATACCTTTAGGTGCCTCTTATGACAAACATGGGTTGCTGAAGACCAATTCTAACCCGGATCTTCACAGGTTGCATTGTGTATTCACTCAAAGTCATGTTTCCAACCTACCTAGAGATAAATCCCTGGGTGTTACGATCACATCTGTCTTGCCATTCTGTAGTGAGATAGGAAACGGTCTGTGTATGGCGTTGGAAAGGTCCCCTGTCTGGAAGATATCAGGACTGGCGGTCCCAGTGGAGGAGGCAGAGGCGCCATCACCACCATTGTGGTGCAGTCCAGGGCGTCCTTGTTCCTCAAAGTCGGCTATCAACTGCAGGGCAACAGTAAAGAGTCAGTAGGTAATTGTGAAAGCACAGTCTGTGATCCTGTCAAATAAACCAACCATCAAATCTAGAAAATGCTGACTGTGTCTGAAAATGGAAGGATGTGGATGAACAAATTCTTGATTACAGAGAGAGTGACTTTTCGGTGTAAGTTCTAACACTGTTATCAAGTAACCATTGCTTATACTGTAATAAAGAAGTTGTTCATCCATATATTGTTATACTTCCTTACTGCTCCAACTTCTAGATGCCTCGCGAAGAAGCTGTGTCTGAAAATGTTTGATCTTGTCTTAACTGGTCTGCACTTGTCTGAACTTACAACAGCATCATGGTCATCAGCAAAGTCTAACGGGAAAAGAAGTCGACTCATCTGTTACCTGAAATATCGAGATATGGCTCCCTTCTACCTCGGCATTCATAACCTTACCACCAGTCCTTGGATCCAAGTATGATGTTGCTTGTCAGATTAGCTATGTCCATTTGTTACAGAAAGACAGGGAGGTCCTGAATCAATCTTATTCCTGCCACTCCTTGGTCCTGGAGATGATGCAGCTCGTACAAATCATAAGTTGATATGTCCATTCATTACAGGAGATTTACACACAAGATGTCCTGGATGTGTTTTTGTTGCCTGTTTCATCCACACCATATATCTACATGATGTATTGTAGAGTACAGATCATACATCACTGTAACTGTTCTGGTATGTTACATCTACTGACGTTAGTCCACAACAACATGGACGGGGATGAGGATAGAGATATACACTGCAAGCTTGATGGGGATCTGAGGGATAGCATGATATCTGCAGTAAACTATGGTTGTAACAAACCATTAATTTAATGAATGTTATATTTGGGATTACGCTTTCTAAGTAAAGTAAAGATTCAAGTACTTTGTTGAGTTGATTCCCATTTGGGATTCGAACCCATACCCTCAGTCAGGCACCTAATCACCATCACACAAAGTCAGACTCTGAGGGTGTGGGTTCGAATCCCAGATGAGCCATGACCCAACAAAACTACTAGAATCTGTACTTTACTAAGACAGTGTGATCCCAAATAGAACATATGCTACATTTGACCACTTTCTAAATACACAGCAATTGGAAAGAACCAAAAATTCAGTTTGTTATGTCTGTCAGAATCCACTTGCACAAAGTAATCTTAGCGCTAAGACTATCGTAAGCCTGTGTGAAAGATGGGAGTTAAGACTGTTGTGGAGGTAAGTTCATTTTGTGCAAGTAGACCGAGGGCCCTTATTCTCAAAACGTTCGTAGCCCTAAGAATTCTTAACTTTGATCGTTGCCAATGTGTTAAGAATGGGCTTAAGAAGTTCGTAGGGCTACGAACGTTTTGAGAATAGCTAGCCTGGTGTATAAATGTGTTTGTTATAAACATACTTTGTTGTGTTGCAATGGCTTAGATCACAACGGTGACACCAGATATTATAAAATACAAGGAATTTCTGTTATTGAATAGCTGGACGTAATAAGAAATATCAACACACTACATTACAATGGTTGTTTTAGGGATGAATTTAGCAACGAGCTCCTAAATGGTAGCAGTCTCACACAATGGTTACCTTCTAACATGTGAGAGTTTCTTGTTACAGATCGTTTATACACTTATTGCCAGTACCTGCTCCCTGTCGTCCACCACATCATTCAGCTGGTCATCGGGGTCAAGGATACCTCCTCCACTGATGGCCTTGACATTGTGGACTGACACCCAGTGGTTGTTGCTCTGCAAGGAGAAATGGTTGGTCATCATCATCATCATCATCATGGTCATCATCATCATCATCATCATCATCATCAATATAAATGTCAATACAGTCAGAGACTGAAATTAACCAAGCAAGTGATAACATACGATGCGCTCCCAAATATTGGAACCTTTACCATCATCATCATCAATATAAATGTTAATACAGTCAGAGACTGAAATTAACCAAGCAAGTGATAACATACAACTATGCCCTCCCAAATTTATCATCATCATTATCATCAATTACTTGCAACATGGCGTCTGGATATCTTGAAAATCAAATAATCTGAATACACAAGTGAAATCTTCTGCAAAAATCAAGTAAATTTTACTTTAACATGTCAAAAAAATGAGTTTAAGTTTTTAAAATATTGACAAAAACCAACAGCAACTGTTTCAAATATCAATCATGAGTTCAATCACGCTGCCATGTCAATCAGGTCAGATGTGTCAGTCAATATAAATCAATGCAGTGTGAAGGCAGTAGGACAAATAGCATCTATTATTAACAACAGAGATTGGCATATTTGACTTCAGAGACAGAAAACTAGAGGAACTACTGGCTCATTGATCCGAGGTCACAGACTCCTAAATAATGTAGCTCACCTTCACTCATTTTGAAAATGGTCAGTGTGTGAAAACGACTATTTCTGCTTCTAACACTTAAAGAGGTATTCATTTATCAATGAATTTGTGACTGCCACACTTACATGCCATACTTAATCATAACATCATTTCAGATGAAAGAGCTTAAGAGGTCTGGGGACTAGCATATAATTATGCTATTTATCTCTTTCATATTGAATTGACACAAGTCTGTGGATCCAGTTCAGAATGAAACTATTCCCATCCCCAACTATAATAGACGTCTATTTCCTACATAATGATTGATTGATCAGCCAGATGAGGAAGTGTAGATTTCATGTGGATAACTCTCCAGACATAAAGGTTATCTACAACACAATAACAACTATACATGGGTTCATGCCTTCATGTCTGATAGGTGATTATTGGAGAAGATATTTTCTTAACCTCAGCACAGCATATGATAAAACCCACCTAATCATGATATTTAATCATTTCTTATCAGACAAAACATTATGATCAAGTTTCATAAGTAATGATAATAATAATCCTCATTATGATCACCATAATTACAATATTAATGCCTTCTGACTTCTAACCGGGGGACAACCCGTGAAGATCTGGGTTAGAACTTATCTTCAGTAACCCATGCTTGTCGTAAGAGGCGACTAACGAGTTGGGTGGTCAGGCTCACTGACATGGTTGACACATGTCATCGGTTCCCAATTGCGCAGATCGATGCTCATGCTGTTGATCATTGGATTGTCTGGTCCAGACTGGATTATTCACAGACCGACGCCATATAGCTGGAATATTGCTGAGTATGGTGCTAAACAACAAACAAACCAATCTAACCTGGACAGGTGCTCAGGAGAACTTGACAATATCATTACCCCAGACAATGAAACACTTCATTCTCAACTCCCTGGGGGAGTATACAACACAAACTGACTGTGAGGTATTATTGCTGGGTGAACAGGGGCATATTCACACAAAGTTACATAGCTGAGGTGATACCATATGTAACATGTGCTTCAGTTATCAACTGATATTCTGGCCGATAGTCCGGCAAACTCGAAGAAAAGCCTTCAGCAAGAACATCAACACTCTGACCACCCAATTCTCATTATCTTTATTCTTACAATTGGCGAGTGGTACAGTTCAACTTATATAAACTGTAGGTGTCTGCAAACCACAATCTCCATTAGTATCAAACATAACAAACTTTCATCTAGAATGTCAAGCCAAATGCCATCAGGCAAAAATTATTAAGGTCTAAAAGTTTTTAGTCTTAATTTTCTTAAATTAGGTAAATTTTAATCAATATTTGATGTTAAAAGAGGCCACCAAGGCAGATCCCTATGGTCAGACATTTCTGATCATGTCATGTGCACTGACCACAAGGCACAAAGCATCACCTTAATACCAATTATCCCTTACCCCCCAAGGCATCACATCAGCCCCAACTGTCAAAGGTCATTCAAAGTTGATGACACAAGAGACTTAAGCCTACTGCATAAATAACTATCAGTGGATTGAAATCAATTATCGAGTGCATCAAACCGTCTCTCGGTATTGATCAAGGAAACACCGTCTGTTAAGTTACTTTGGATGTAACCCAGCTGATAATTGAACAGTTAATATCACGATGATTCCATCGTCATGTAGTTCAATTGTTATTTCAGCAATTAATGTCATCATCAATTACTTTGGAATATTACCATCGCCACAACTAGTCTTACCAGACGTTGGTTATTAAATTATGATACAGTTAAGCGATCAGGTAACTATTTGACGTTTCAGTTGCCAAGCAAATTGGGAGTGGATTCGCTTAAATATGGCTCTGAGGATTATTCCAGTTATATCACGGCATGTCGGCTTGTTGTCGGAAGAAGTCACACATGTGTCAGACGTTCACAACTTCGGGTGAAACCCGTAAGCAAGGGTATGGTGCTGTTAAACCTAGAAACATGGGCTTACAAAGCAGGGTTTGAACCCATGTTCATATGCATCTTGCATTCCCAAGGGAAGTATTAGTCTTCAAAGTTACATCATCTTCGATGACTTGGTCACCTTTGTTTTATTTTCTTTGTTTATTTGCTTTTCAATACTGCAATTAGCAATCGTATCCCCATTGTGCATATTGATGCTCATGATGTTGATCACTGGAATGTCTGGTCCAGACTGGATTATTGACAGACATCTGCCATATAGCTGGAATATTGCTGAGTGCGGCATTAAACAACAAACCAACCGAATCGTTCTCCAAAACACAAATGAAACTACGGCATGTTTTGGTGGAGTGACATAAGGATATTTACTTACACTTACATGGTCAGATCATTTAGTGAATCATGCTATAGAACAACTCAGTCCAACCAGATTATGATTGATATACAGAGAAAAAGCAAATGTTGATTAATAATGAAATAGTGTAAAGAACTTGAGCATAAAATCATCAATGTCATGACTGAACTTAATGCACTGTTCTGTCACATATGGAATACGAGCGTGCAGCCACACTGCAGTACACAAGGTCACGATGACATGCGCACAGCAAATAGACACACGAGATAATGACAGTAATTGGTGTAATTAGCTCTGGCGAGTATGTCATCACTGCTGCATGCTATCTTACATTATGTATTACAGTACAGTGGTGACAGGGTGGGCAGGTGCTTGTAGCAAGGCTGTATGTCATCACTGCTGCATGCTATCTTACATTATGTATTACAGTACAGTGGTTACAGGGTGGGAAGGTGCTTGTTGTAAGGCTGTATGTCATCACTGCTGCATGCTATCTTACATTAATGTAATACAGTACAGTGGTTACAGGGTGGGCAGGTGCTTGTTGTAAGGCTGTATGTCATCACTGCTGCATGCTATCTTACATTATGTATTACAGTACAGTGGTTACAGGGTGGGCAGGTGCTTGTAGCAAGGCTATATGTCATCACTGCTGTATGCTATCTTACATTATGTATTACAGTACAGTGGTTACAGGGTGGGCAGGTGCTTGTAGCAAGACTGTATGTCATCACTGCTGTATGCTATCTTACATCATATGTATTACAGTACAGTGGTTACAGGGTGGGCAGGTGCTTGTAGCAAGACTGTATGTCATCACTGCTGTATGCTATCTTACATTATGTATTACAGTACAGTGGCTACAGGGTGGGCAGGTGCTTGTTGTAAGGCTGTATGTCATCACTGCTGCATGCTATCTTACATTAATGTAATACAGTACAGTGGTTACAGGGTGGGCAGGTGCTTGTTGTAAGGCTGTATGTCATCACTGCTGCATGCTATCTTACATTATGTATTACAGTACAGTGGTTACAGGGTGGGCAGGTGCTTGTAGCAAGGCTATATGTCATCACTGCTGTATGCTATCTTACATTATGTATTACAGTACAGTGGTTACAGGGTGGGCAGGTGCTTGTAGCAAGACTGTATGTCATCACTGCTGTATGCTATCTTACATCATATGTATTACAGTACAGTGGTTACAGGGTGGGCAGGTGCTTGTAGCAAGACTGTATGTCATCACTGCTGTATGCTATCTTACATTATGTATTACAGTACAGTGGCTACAGGGTGGGCAGGTGCTTGTTGTAAGGCTGTATGTCATCACTGCTGTATGCTATCTTACATTATGTATTACAGTACAGTGGTTACAGGGTGGGCAGGTGCTTGTTGTAAGGCTGTATGTCATCACTGCTGTATGCTATCTTACATTATGTATCACAGTACAGTGGTTACAGGGTGGGCAGGTGCTTGTTGTAAGGCTGTATGTCATCACTGCTGTATGCTATCTTACATTATGTATTACAGTACAGTGGCTACAGGGTGGGCAGGTGCTTGTTGTAAGGCTGTATGTCATCACTGCTGCATGCTATCTTACATCATATGTATTACAGTACAGTGGTTACAGGGTGGGCAGGTGCTTGTAGCAAGACTGTATGTCATCACTGCTGCATGCTATCTTACATCATATGTATAACAGTACAGTGGTTACAGGGTGGGCAGGTGCTTGTTGTAAGGCTGTATGTCATCACTGCTGCATGCTATCTTACATCATATGTATTACAGTACAGTGGTTACAGGGTGGGCAGGTGCTTGTTTTAAGGCTGTATGTCATCACTGCTGCATGCTATCTTACATCATATGTATTACAGTACAGTGGTTACAGGGTGGGCAGGTGCTTGTTGTAAGGCTGTATGTCACCACTGCTGCATGCTATCTTACATCATATGTATTACAGTACGGTGGTGACAGGGTGGGCAGGTGCTTGTTGTAAGGCTGTATGTCATCACTGCTGCATGCTATCTTACATCATATGTATTACAGTACAGTGGTTACAGGGTGGGCAGGTGCTTGTTGTAAGGCTG